AAACAACATCAAAAAGACAAGAAAATAAGCCGAACCACAAAATCTACAAAACGAAAGCAAAAATGCACGAAACACGATAAAATGGACCGGTCAATACTAAAACGGACCTAAAATCACTCAACTAAAACACATAAAACACACGAAAATAAGCACAAAAACACAATAAACAGAAACTAATTTGAATCAAATAGGATCTTGAGCACTGAATATGTTTTTGCAAAAATCTTATTCCTTGCTTACTACAAGAGTCCTATCTGCACTGAGTATATTTGCTTCCCCTCTCCTTAAATCAAGATGATATGAAGGCCTTAGTGATAGTCAATATAAGTTAGCAATCAATTGTCAATTTACCATTGTCCTGATATCCTTTCTTGCTTCTATTACTCTACTCTAAACAGACTACAAAGAACAGCCTTGGTCTGGGTTCCAGTTCTAGCACAACACAAGCACCAGCTATTCCTCTTTCTGGAAGGTATGGATAAAATTTGATTTGATGCGATAATTACAAAAAATTATCCTTAAAGGTTTAGTCTAACTACAACAACTCCGCTTATCTTTTCAGAACTACCAAAATCCCCAATTTTAGATTGTACGAAATTCTCATTGACATTTGTATTTTTGTAAGGTTTGATTCATAAAAGTGAAGCAAATGGCCAAGGGGTATTTGTAATATTGAAGGATACATCGTACACATTTCAATTAGACCAAAATTCAGTGATAGTTTTTCAAAAAATGGATTTAATGCTAGGTTGTCAAACATATATATATACTTTTACACTCGTCAGACCAAACAATGGTATGAGTTGGGCAGATGAAGTTGAACTATCTGAGGCTGGAACAAAAACGAAAGATGTACAAAGAGAAGTTCTGGAGGCACTATATACCGGGTCCGACAAGTTCGAAAAAAAAATGTCCGCTCCTCCAGTTAGACCAATTCGGCGGTCATCAGCCCACGGTCAGGTTGTGACGAAACCACCAGACGAAAAAATGTATGAGGATTTTTTTCATACATTACAAGACAACCAATCAATAACAGTAGTAAGTATATTATTTTTTGGCCGCAAATTTCACTTTATCCTTATGATGTCATTACATTTGTAGAAAATCTAAGGCTGCATTTGGATTTGATGGGAGGGTTTGTGGAAAAGATTTTTAAATGACTCCATTTAAGATGAAGTTTAAATCAACCAACAATGGCTCCATTTAAGATTTCGATGAACACAATAATAGGAAATGGAAGATGTGAAATTCATGGATTTATGAGATTACCTCAATGTGCTTAACAGATTTAAAATCCATTAAAGAAGTTTTATTACATTGTTCATTGTTGGTGCCAGACGTCATTCACTAGACTTCGCTATTCACTATTCATCAGTAATTATATAATATGTAGTATGTTCTGGATATTGGAAAAATACTCTCAGCGTTCTAATGCTGATTTTGGCTTGATAAATGCTCTATTACCTAATTACTTATCTTCACGATTATGTCCTCTCTTCACGAGCATCAGCTGTGGCTTTCTCGAGACAATTTTTGTGCTCTATTGCATTCTTTATCAGTGAACTACTAACTCAAATGGATTATCAAATACATTTAGTTTTAGGCGTTCACACATGAGTTTTATCTATTTTTTCCTTTCTTTCTTCATGTATTGATACAACAATCCCTTTGCAGATTAACCTTTGTGAATCCTTATGATTCGTAATTTTGGTTGTTAAAAAGGCTACCGGTTTCACTATGAATGCCATAAATAGTTCACTATCTTCTGGAGAAACATCTTATGCAGTTATCAAGTCTTTCTTTGATTCAACCCCTCCTTTTTAAGGATTCCGCTGAAATAAAAAGAAAATTGAAAGAATTTATGCAAAAGAATCACGCGCCATTAGGTAAGCCTCGTGCCCTAATTTTGCCACTGCAAGCTTGGATTTGTTTATGTTTCTATCTTTGGGTAATGGAGAGGCTAATCGAGTTTTGTGCGTGACATCTGGCGGCACAACTGTTCCTTTGGAACAAAGATGTGTTCGGTACATTGACAATTTCAGCTCGAGTCATAGAGGGGCTGCATCCACAGAGTACACAACATTATAATTTTATTCTGTTGGATTGTTTTCATGCTTTTATATTACTTTTTTTTTTTAATTTTTCTCACATTGAAGTTAACTTATGAAATCACAGATATTTTCTGGAGGCTGGTTACGCTGTAGTATTTCTTATAATTTCCTCTTTAATCGTAGGTCAAGTTAAAATATTTGACATGGGATATGATATTTTTAAGGAGAGATTAGAAACAATATTATGTTTTGTTGAATATAACTTTAAGTATTAAGAATATTTTTCCGTTCTTTTTTTTTTTTAATGTATAGTTCATTAGGCAAATTTGGACTATTGCCTTTGTAGGTGCACATTGTTAGAGTGCATGGCTCGGATGTCGTTGGTACAGCTCTTTGCCTTATGGAATTAGATGCTTTTAAAAGAAGGGCAAATGAGGGTTAGTGTTTGGTTTTTCTTTCCTTTAAAATATACCATTTTGTCTTTTGGTTTTTCTATTTTGTACTGTGAAGTTTGAACAACTACGGATCGAGATTTGATCACTTACATTTGTGTTTTGCTCTCACATGGAAACATTTATGAAGATCTTGAGAAGAAAGATAAAATATAGCGTAAAAGAACAACAAAGTACGTGGAGCATTTCTTGCCCAATCTCTCCACACCATTATGCAATTGATGATAAATCTAATTTGTTTTTACTGTAAGTAAAAATAATTTTCTTCAAATCTTCATGTGCCAACCTGCACAGTAATGTAAAAATAATACATTTACACGCAATTTCAACATCCAATAAATTAAACACATTCAAAAAGCATGCATCCATCTATAAATAAGTATAAACAACTTATGTGCATGATCTAATAGATGTGATTTTTATTCTAACAATTAAATATATTATTAATAAGTAATAAGGCTTATAAGAAATATATTAAAAATATTCTTTTCATTTAATATTCTATGTAGAATCAAATTGTAAATATGCTAATTAGAAAATGTTATTATGAGTTATAAAAATCAATTGGTTTCCTATTGGATGTAATTTTAATAAAATATGCTATATATTTACTTAAACCGTGTGGGCAATAAAATCGCAAATATGTTGCCAACTATAGTCAAAGCTAATCTATTCGATATAAAAAATGTGAATTGTTATTCAAAATTTATGAGGTAATGGAAAGAATACATAAGTGGGTTATGAGCAAACCCTAAAAAATCGAATAAATTCGCATTTTATAGATTCCAAAAATTATTCCACCGTTCCATTCGCATTTTAAAGAGTTGTAATTAGTTAGTTATTTAACTTATATTAGTAATAAATAATATCAAATTGTTGAGTTATGATTTAATATTATTTAACATCACACTATCATTAATAAAAACTTATATGTGTGTAGATTATCTAATTTCCAGAACATGGATATTCTATGGAATTGTGCAATGAGACACAATTAGATATGACCAAACTCTCCACTCATGTGCTCGAATGTAAGATATTGATAGGAGATCAAGCTGACAAGAAGGTGTTGATTCTTAGAAAGAATATAACTCCTTCCGATCTTAGGGTTGCATTTAAGTTCCACCGGCGACAGTTTCCACTTATGGTTTCGTATGCCATGACCATAAACAAGAGTCATTGTCGCGCATTTTCATGTTTTTGAAGAAACCTGTTTTTAGTCACGACCAATTATGTTGTTTCGCGTGTAACTAATAAAAAGGGCTTAAAATATTAATCTATTGGAACGACGTATACAATGATGTATTTAATAATATATATTTTTGGTGATGAACATTTTATAATTGAACAATTTCCCTACGTATTATAACACTTTATCTATTAATACACTTTAACTTATAATATTCCTTAAATAAATACAGCTCGTGCATCGCACGAGTTACGTACTAGTATAGAAAGAAAAAAACAAGTTAATTATCTTTTATTTTTTTATGTATATTTATAAAATAATTAATATAATATTTTAAAAAGCACATGTCAGTGCCGAGCCGAGCAAAGATATTTGATATATTAATTAAATTTTAATATATTATTGATAAGCTATTAAATATAAGAGTAAATTACAATTTTAGTTTTGTATGTTTCACTACCTTAACTTTTTCGTCCTCTTCTAATTGTGTTTTTTTATTTTCGTCTCGTATGTTTTTAAAAAGGTTACAAAAAGGTCTTTTTTCATACATAAGGGACAAAATTTGAACATTTTTTTGCAAAACATAAAAGACATCTTTGTAACCTTTTTGTAAACATACGAGACAAAAATAAAAAAACGCAATTCGAAGAGGACGAAAAAATTAAGGTAGTGATTAGTCTAAATATAAATAATAGATGGTATTATTACCAACCAAGTACATAAAAAAATGAAAAAATGTTCTCAAGATACTTATTCAAATAAAATCATATATACATATAACCTAACATAAATTATTACAATTACAGCTATGCGTGTTTAAAATATTCTAATTCAATTTTAATAATTTTGTAAAATTAATTATATTATAAAAAATAATTTCTTGCAGGAGTTGAAACATGACTAGTTTGGCGCAGGTCCCAGACTTCCGCATTAGATTTCGAACGTCAACTATTTTGACTCAAACTAGGCCGGCCCAATATAGACCAAGTCCACGAGAAAAAGATTACATTTCATTTCATTTAGATGCCACAATCATTCAAGTCCAATACCAACAGATTGACATATCAGAAATCCAATCAAAACATCTGACCACTAAATCCATATCAATCAGAATTTACATTCCTTATACACATGCCAAAAAAAAGACCCAAACTAGTGTTCTAAAGGGCCAAAAGAAAAAAGTCAATTGCTATGATGTCTAAAGATCAAAGTATATTTTTGAACCAATTGAAATCAATCCAAGATCTGATAAAAGAAAAAATCCAATCACCAATTACCATAGTATTCACCTTCAATAAAAACATCTGCCTATTGAAACTTCTCCTGCTTAGGGCTCCTGTGATTTTGGTCCTGCGGCCATGACCCGTAGTCAAATTCCTGATTTGCCCTCATACTACTGCCCTCTTGCGGCCCGACAAAATGACCAAATTGCCCAACGGGGCCACCGGGCCCGTACACCAGCGGCCGCCTAATCAAATTCACATTCCCATCCAACTGCTGCTGGAAAACGAACCCCGGCTCGAATTCCGGCCGATACGCCACCGGCCCGCCCTCCGGTTCGGCCGCCATCGAATTTCCGTAATTGCCCCTTGGATCGCCGGGCCCAATAAACTGGGAAAGCAGGAGGCGCTGCCGGTTGGCGTGTTCCCGGAGGGCCTGGTTCTCGTCCTGGACCCGGGCGAATAACCCGTAGGGCCCGCGGACCGGGTCGCGGACCCACATCGCGGATTCCCAGTGGAGGGACCGGGCAATCTCGTACTGGTCGGCGGGGGATTGGGCCTCCCGCAGCATCTTGGTGACGTTGGCAACGCCGAACACCTTGTGGACGGCGGCGAACGCCTCGGGTTCGGACGCCGGGAAGTGGGGGCGGAGGAGGCAGCCGACGGCGCACTTCTTGCGCTGGTTCTTGCAGGCGGCGCAGGCGGGGTGGTTGCTCGGCTCATCGTTCTCGTTGTTTCGGTTTGTCATTTTCGGGGATTGTGATTTGCTACCATAAGAGAGACAAGAGAATCGGATAATTAGTTAATTTTGGGTATAAAAGGAGGAGAAATCGGAGGCGTGGTGGGGTAGGGTTTTGAGAGAGAAGGAAGTATAAATGCTGTAGAATTCAAGCTGCTTTGGGATGAGCCCTAGTATCAGCGGATATTTTTTAATTCAGTTTTAATTTAATTAATTAATTCTTTTCATCGATAATTGTTAATTAATTTATATTTTTCTATCGGTAATAGTAATTATAATTAATTTATTTCCTAAAGAGGTCGTCAAAGTTGGGGTCTTGTAAGAATTGAAACAAACTAAGGGATTTGAGATATTTGGTACATATCATACTCGTGAGAGAAAATAGATCGAGTCTCAAATTGATTGGTGATATAGGTATGGGAAATTTGATTATAATAGGACCTTTCTATGTAAGGTGTGTGCCATATTTTTGGAGTATAACGAGTAGTAGAGCTGTCAAAACGGGCCGATGGGGCGGGTCAGCCCATAGCCCGACAAAGCCCGCCTTCTGGCAGGGTGGGGCGGGCTGGTCCGCTATCTTGGCGGGCCTGTAAAATGCTGGCTCAACCCACCCCATCACGGGCCACGGGCTTGGCGGGCCAGGCCCGCTGCTTAGATTTTTTAAAAAAAAAAAAATTGGATCAATTAGAGCTTTATTTTTTCAGTCCATATTTTGCAATTTTGTTCCCTTTTCCAGCCCACATGTTTCCACGCATGTTCAGCGATAAAACTTGTAATATGAAGTTAAGAACACACCAAGAAGAGGAAGAAAACAAAATTAAAAAAACACCCTCAAATTAGTTCACAAGCAGAGCAGCAGCCGAAAAAATTCCTTCATTAATCCCAAATTCTCAATACCCTTCCTTCTTTCTTCGGCTGGGTCCCAAAAAATCATTCCTTCATCCCAAAAGAATCCTTCCTTCTTTCGGCTGAGTGTTGAAGGGGCCGACGACAATTGAGACTAGCGTAGGGGCCAGCGATAGAGTTCCCAATGGCGGAGCACGAATAGGGCAGATGGCGGCGTAAGGGCCGAGGACGGAGGCGATAGTTTGTTTGGTGGAGCTTAGGCGATTAGGGTTTTCTGGACGAGGGGCTGAGGCGTGTGACGAAATGAGATTGAGGGAATTGAGGATATTTATATTTTTTTTTAATTTATTATTTTTTTATATAATTGGCGGGCCAGCCCGAGGGTTAGCCCGTCCCGCCCCGCCTTGGCCCGCGGCCCGCACGGGCTTGCCTGTTTAGGCCCGCTCCCCAGCGGGCCTAGAAAATCTCGGTCCAACTCGCCCATTTTGCGGGGCGGGCCGCGGGCCAAATTCACAGCTCTAACGAGTAGTGATTAGAGTTGTCAAAACAGGCCAACAGGGGCACCTTAGCCCGTAACCCACCAAAGCCCGCATATTGGTTTGGCCCGACATGCCTAAAAATGTAGGCCCAACTAGCCACTGGCTCAGGACGTGAGTTTAGCAGATATGCTCGCCATTTTTTTTAAATCAAACAACATTAAGAAAAAAAAAAAGTCAAAATGCACATCTTTCATATATCTAAATGAAAACATTGGTCGGGCAAGTGTTGAAGCCTCAAGACAAAAATCTTACATGATTAAGGTTTTCGAGTTGACCAGTCGCTAGTCTGAACAACCTCAGAGGCAGGTCAAACGAGTGTTGGAGTCTTGATGGCAAAAACCTGCATGATTAAGGCTTTCAAGCTGGCCCATCACTTGTTTGAACGATCTCAGAGGCAGGTTGGGCGAGTGTTGAAGTCTCAAGACAAAAACCTGACATGATTAAGGCTTTCGAACTAGTGAGTCGCCAATTTGAACAACGTGAGAGGTGGGTCGGACGAATGGTGGAGCCTTGATGACAAAAACCTGGCATGATTAAGGTTAATATTTGAGCTGGTCGGTCGCTCTCGTTTGAACGACATCAGAGGTAGGTCGGGTGAGTGTTGCGGCATTGATAGAAAAAAACTTACATGATTAAAGCTTTTCTAGTTGGCCAATTGCTCGTTTGAACAACCTCAGAGGCACGTCGGGCAAGTGTTGAGGTCTCAAGACAAAAACTTGGTATGATTACAGCTTTCAAGCTGGCCAGTCGCTCGTTTGAATGAGCTCAGAGGTAGATTAGGTGAGTGTTGAAACCTTGATGGCAAAAAACTTCGTATAACCAAAGTCTCGAGCTTGGCAACGATAGGTCGATCGACATAAAAATGAGCCTTGATGGAGAATTCATTTTAATCTACAAAATTTACTAAGTGTGAATCGAACACTTTCTAAGGATCTTAGCGGTAGGTCAGTTGAATAATATGATATCAAGATTGCTTAAAAGTTGTTAAGAATGAAATGAAGTTTTAGAAGAAACCTCAGTAGAAGTCGATTGAATTTAAGCCTCGGTAAAGTTTTTAAGTCTGGAATTAAACTGATAGACCTCAATGGTAGGTCGACTCAATTGAAGATTTTCTAGGTTGAAAATTTCAATCTGCAATTTTTGGTAAGTATGAGTTGAAGGTTTTAATAGACTTTAGAGGCAAGTCGATCAAATTAAGTTAAATCCTTGGTGGCATGAGCATTTCCATCTGCAAGGTTTGCTAAGTGTGAATATTGAATTTTTTAGACCTTAGAGGCAGGTCGACTCAATAAGGTTGTAGCAATCTCGATGGCATTTCAAACAATCAAAATTGGAATGTATGGAGGAAAATTTTGAAGACATCAAAGGCAGGTTGATTTGTTAAGATTATCTCACTGAAGGTGGAATTTTAATTTGAGTTTTTGCCAAAGACCTCAATGCCAAAATAGTATGGTGGCAACTAAGGTTTAATCATATCAAAGACAATATTGAGCAAAAAGTTAAGTAATGCAAATCGAAGGTCGATAAAACATAGACAACATAGTAAAGAGGTGAAATATAATTTCATTAAAGAGTGCAAACTTCTTCAAAATACAATAAAAGAAATTACAACAAACTACGATAAGCTACTTGGGAGGGGTCGACTCCTTACCAACTGCACTGGTTTGAGGAGTAGCTTCTTCAAGAGCTTGCTCGGGGGGGAGGGGGTGAGGGGCGACATTGCGAGCTGCTTCTTTGGAGCTTGGCTCGATGGTAGCCACAGCCTTATCAACGACCTCAACCCCAACAGCAGAAGCACCTTCGGGTGGGAGTTTAGAAAGAGGCTCGACGACGAGTGGACGAGCAGAGAGTATGGACTTCTTATCCAAATTGTATTGGATGGGAGCCTTCTTAAGGATGCTTTCCAACCTCTTTTGGTCGAAGGGAAGACCGTGCTCGCCGTCATAGCCATCAGGTTACTCAGGAAGATTTTCCATGATAACCTCGCGGTCGAAGACTCCTGAAAACTTGGAGTTTTGAACTGCTCCTCAGCTTGGTCCAGAGAAAAGTTGAAGTATTAGAAGGCAGCTGGGCCAAATTTCTGAATGAAGCTAGAAGATTTGTAGAACTCCTCCATGTTAAGGTATACTATAGAAGTTTGGCTTCGTGTTACGAACAATTCCATTTGAATGAGATTTATGTTTTAGTCAAGTATATAGTTGCATTTTATTTATGTATGTGAACATGGTTCCTTTATTTTACATTGTATATTATGATTTGATATGTCGAACAGAAAGATCATTTTATCGGTGCTTTGTACAATGTAAATTATTAGTTCACAACCTAGACAAAATTGAACTAACTTTCGTGAACGGTTGTAGTGTGATTTTCGAATTAGTTGATCTTTGACTAATGAATTACACTAGTAAATCTCAGATGTATTAAATGAACCACAGAGGATAAGATTATTTTACACTACCAAGTAAATAATCTAGACGTCAATTATTGATGCGTTCCCTAAACTTGTAAGATAATAAACAGACAAATCTATTCAATTATTGTTTATTTAATTTACCAATGAGTTAGATTTTGTGTAGATCGATAGCCTCATCTATATCTACATATATTGAAAGAGGATGGTAAATAAATCATTTGTGGAAAGTTCACAAAAAAATAGAGTCAACCCATTTGACTTACTATTTATGACAATTGTTTAAAAAAATCTGAAATTCTGTTCGGTTTTCAAAATTTGGGTAGATTTTTTCGTTTTATTTTTTGTTAATATGTAAGCAAAAAACATTCCATATTTTACGCAATCATAATCTATTCAATACGAAACAAATTTATATTATTTAATTCATAGTTTAAATCGAATATGATTTCTAATCAAAATGTAATGAAATAATTATACAATCCAGAATATCTAATCTTTTTTTTATTTTTTTCATCAACACACTACCTTTAAAATAATTGAGAAATCAAATCTTATAAACTAACGGGAGACACACATGAGATGAACTTGCATTTGAATAAAATTTCAAGATTTT